AGGGGGGGGGACATTTCTAAGGAGTGCTCAAGTGCAGTAGTGCGTAAATCGAAAGGTGGTATCATGCACTTGGTGCTACAAACAAAGTGATAGTGAACGTGGAATTGTAGGCTAAGCATGCACCTGAAATGGGCCCGAGTCATTGAGGGAAGGGCCTGATAGGCTCAGAAGTCTCCCTTGATGTCATCGCGCTCAGGCTAAATCATCACACCCAGCGTGATCGTGAGGGGAAGGTGCTGCCAAACCGCGCGCAGGGACCTAGTTTGGGCACGTTAATCTTCAGAGAAACTCCTGACACACACATGTGGGGAAGAGCTTTTGTGCAGCAGGTTCAAAAAGGGACCTACAATTAGCAGGACTTGGAATTGGAATTCCATTGTTCAATCTGATTTCTGAGTTCCTTCCGAAAAGCCACAGAACTGTGCTTCAGAAATATATCGTGATTTCACCTATGGAAGGTCCTGTTCTAGTTCTCGAACCGCCCCCTCCGCTTTTCCAAAGTAGCATGATTCTGTTTCTTTCGTTAGTTGTTTTTCAGGTTTTTCTTTATCTCTTCCTTCTTTTCCCTTCAATTCGACCTGCCCCATGATAAAAATTGTCCCAAATCAAATAAATATCTCTACCGACTACCATTTGTTCTGCGTCCTTCGCTGCTCTCAATTGGTTCACGATGAGCCACCGTTGGCGTGGTTGACGCGTCGAACATTCCTGGTCTCACTTCAAATGGAGCTGTCTCTGCTGTAGTCGTCGTCTCTTCGAATTTGAATGTTGTTGCAGTTGGTGGGACAGTTTCAGGCCATTCAGTAGGCATCGTTAGACCTTCCTCAAGAGTCCTGGTTCGATCTCCGTCTTGGCCAGGTTCTGATCGCCGAATGTCGACGGCCGCTCCTTCATCACTACGCGTCCCTCAGACGGTTCTTCTTCCTCTTCTGATCCTTCTGGCATCGGTGGATATTCCGTGCCTGCTGTGATTCCACTTTCTACAGAAATCGTTGTACTGGTTGTGTCCAAGGGCACCTCAGGGGGAGTTGGCCACGATGCTGTCGTAGAAGTCGTAGTAGGTGACGTGGGTGGTGCAGTGCTTGGTGCAGTCGGAAGGGTCGTAGTCGTAGTAACGACTGTGCTAGTGCCGAACGCTGATTCATCGAATATTGAGGTGCCAGGTGCTTGAGTCTGTAAAACGTGCTATTTGATAACAAGCAGGTGCAATGCTTGCAAGGTGTATTCGTTCTGTGGGTGCAAGTGGACAAAACCCATAAACTTACGGTGGAGGCTGGAGTTGTCGTCGTTATCCGCCTTCCCATTGTCGTTCCTCGGGTTGTGGTCTGCCAAGTGGTGCTCTCTCCTTCTCCTGAATTCTACTGTTTTTTGGACCTTACTGTTGGTCAATAAAAACAAATGGCGTAGCAGGTGGACACCTTGAAGGGTCGGTGAGATCTCTTAAGGACAGATTTCGATATCGGAACTCGTTGGTATGGGGTTTAAAAAATGAACTCTTAGGAGCTAGATAGGACAAAAGTGCTGAATTTCTTTTGATTAAAGAGAAAACAGTAGAAGTCGTAGAATACGTCGGCTAAGAACGTCGCTTATCGATTTTTTGAGCTGTACGAGTACGCGAAGGAGTACGAAACGAAAAGCTGTTGAACATGCGGTGAACAGGTCGTGAGTTGGCAAGAGAGCACGCTGTAAAATCAGCAAAGAGTGTAAGAAGCGCGATAGTCAAGCGATGGGTGGCCGATCACACCTGGGCGGGAATTCACATGTGTTTTGGGCGCCTAGCGGTCTTGCTACGCACTTTCGATTTGCGAATCGGCAGTACACACTATACACCCTACTGTGGCGGACCCCGCGTGACGCTGGTAAATTCCTATCCGCGAGTATATTCGCAGAATCTTTTCAGAAGGCGGTGGGGCACGAAGCGGGCCCTTCATTGCCAGTGTCATGTGGTAGGAAGGGCGAGGGCGCTCAGCGCGCAGGGGCTTTGCCACACCTCGCTCCAGCCCTTCCACCGATGACGTTGTCGACAGCCGCCCACCCTCAGCCATCGTGCCTGCAGCCTTTGAGGTGGTCAACTGAACCTGTGAATTCAAATAGGAGCTGGTGCTACTCACAGGCAAAAATAACAGTAGACATGTTCAAAGAAGCATTACCATACTAATGAGACGACGTGTACTGGTCGACTAGTAACGATGCGAGGTTCTCCTTCTTGCCATCCTGTTGTCTCCCCTCTTCCGCTGGGAACTGCTTGTCCGGGCCATTTCGTGGGTGGGAAACCAAATGGTGGCTGACGATGTACCATGTTCTGTTCAGCGAAAGTTGACGTTGTGTGTCTTGCAGGGAGGACACGTTCGTGGCTTATTCCTCGCTCTCTGTGGAGGCCTCTAACTAAGCAAGAGTAGAAATATATCTCTTTACAGGACGAGATTTGCACGTAAATGCAGCACATTTGTGGCTAAAAAGACACAGCGTTCCTTCCCTCTTATCGCTTTTTTTCGAAAGCTTTTAAAGACTGCACATTCGGATACTCTACTGAGTAATGAGGGCTATTCAATCGGCCTGCAGAGGAGGAACAAGAAGTGGGCCCTCACTCAAAGTCCCTCTTCATAACTATGGGTGAAAACCCCAAACTTTTCTGATAGGAAACTGTTAAACTGTTAAGGAAAAGTGCGCACTCGTGCTAAAGGGATGATCTTGAGGGCGCCAATACTATTTGGCCACCTCATGTACGTAAATCTTCTAGGCAGGTTCAACCTGTTATGCGCGAGCTATACGCGTGGTGAAGGTGACCTCTGTTTTGTCCTCCCCGGTTCAGGGTGGGCAGCTAGGACGTCGTGAAGTCCAACAGCAGAAGTGTTGTTAGTGGGTTGTGGTCACGGTTGTGGACGGTGGTCTCCATGGTGGGAGTGTTGTCTCAACCGGTGGTCTCCAAGGTGGAAGAGTTGTCTCCAGCGGAGGTCTCCAAGGTGGGAGCGTTGTCGTGCGTTCGGTCGTGGTAGAAACTAGGTTGAACAGTTGGACCTGTGGTGGTCCTTGGGCGAGTTGTAGTAGTTGCTGGAGGAGGTGTGGGGGTCGTTGGGGGAGTTGTTGTGCTCGTTGGACGAGTTGTAGTTGGGCGAGTTGTAGTGGTCGCTAGACGAGTTGTAGTAGTGGGCGGAGAAGTCATCCACCAGGGGGTAGTCCATCTATGAGGTGCGATCGTTGGAGCTCTCTGTTGTAGCAGCGCAAAGCGGATAGTTGACATCCAGCATTTCCGCTGTGAAGTCGTGCTCAGAGCCTGGACGAAGTTTGATACGCACCCGCTGGAGCAGAGGTCGACATCCCACCACGGAGGAGTTCCTGTAGCGCTCAGCGTTTGGTTGCACCGTGTGGCTCACGTGGTGGTGAGAGGAGTAGCCCTCTGATGGACGAGTTAGTCGCGAACGCACCACCCGTTGGAGGAGATGTCAACATCCACCACGGAGAAGTACCCGTCGCGCTAGACGTTGTTGACTTCCACCATGGCTCAGTGGTGGTGGGAGGAGTAGTCCTCACTGTTGGACGAGTTGTCGTGACCGTTGGAGGAGATGTCGACATCCACCACGGAGAAGTAACCCGTCCGCGCATAAGACGTTGTTGACTTCCACCATGGTTCAGTGGTTGATGGAGGAGTAGTCCTCACTGTTGGACGAGTTGTCGCGACCGTTGGAGGAGATGTCGACATGCGCCATGGGGTAGTCCACGCGCTCCGCGTGGTAGTTGTCGGGGTAGTCATCGTTGCTGCTGGAGAAGAAACGAACCTCCACCATGGAGTCGTGCTAGTTGAGTCAGAAACTGTAGACATCCACCATGGTGTTGTAGTTGTCTCAGGACTTGTGTGCACTGGTGGACGAGTTGTCGCGATCGTTGGAGGAGAGCTCGTCATCCACCAAGGGATAGTCCCTGCTGTTGATGCCACGGTGGTTCGAAGAGTCGTTGTTGTGGTAGTCCGGGGAGAAGGAGGAGAGGGAGCCTTCGTTTTTGGAGGTGTGGCAGTTGTTCGGGAAGGTGTCGTGGTTAGACGAGTTGTTGTCTGCGGAGGGCGCGATTTCTCAGTCGTTGGCTCTCGATGGAATGGTGGTGGACTCTGAAATTAACTAATTTAATACAAGAATTCTCTAAAAAATGAAGTAGGAAAATCAGTAGGAAAAGTAAATGGGGTGGTAGTGAATCTGTTGTTTCTTTCGATGGGCTCAATCATGCGTGCAATACTGGTCCAGATTCGCATACGTAGTTGGAAGTGTAGGGGCAGTTTGGCAATGGGGCAGGGCATTTCACACTGCTGCTACTTCATCGACGTGTCGACCCATCTAGAGAGCCTTTTCTTGAGTTGACAGGTTTTACCATGATGGCTCAACGAGCTTGCTCCAGCTTCACAAGAGTTCCGCAGGTTTCACCAAGGTGAGACGTGTAACGTGAAGGAAATTGCGAAATACCCCCTCGTCGCCGAACTGCGCAGCGTTTTCGTTTTGCACAACGTATTTCAGAAAAAAACTCCGAGTTGAGTTATAGGACTGCCTATCCCTTCAGTCGATCTTCCATAGCAGGCAGTGCGTCGCTTCAGTTCTACCCTTTTCACAATTTAGCTCATAGTTGCTGGAAAAAGCGCTCGTACCGGAAATGGGGAGAACGTGGTGACTTCACTTGGAAGTGGAGGCAGCTGGTTTTTCGGAGGAAAATTGGATTTTGAGACGACTGTAGTCATGTATTTGTCAAGCAGTTCTGGATGACAGTTGTCTCAAATGAACTGATCCACGAAATGCGCATTTACAGCCCTAGTGGACAGCCACGCCCTTCCATCTGGGTTGGGTAGACTCATAATTCTTACATCAAAATCCCTGGGATGCGGTAGGTAGGCCATTTGAACCTTCAGTTCTTAAAGACTCATTTTCATCTCATCTCAGAACAATTTTTGATCGGCCTACCTTGTCAAACGGTGATTCCTTCATCATTTCGTCCACTTCAGTCGTGGTGGTCCTCCTTGTAGTTGTTTGTGTCGTCACTCTTCTCGTAGTTGCGGTTGGGTGGGTTGGGCTGAGGGCGTGGTTCTGCCAGTGGAAGTGGACTCAGTGGAGCTCGACGCCAACTCTTTTTCAATCTCGCTGAAGCCTTCTTCTGAAGATCAGGCGTTAGGTTTGGAGTTATGGACACTGGATTTCAATGATAAGCCCATTGTGAAAAGTGATAAGCTCGAAAGATTAGAAGAAGAATGAGACTCGTACCTATGAGTTTTCCGAGGTCCTCGTCCTCTATGTTAGTGTTGCCCATCTGATCTATGGTGTCTCCAAGATTTTTGGCGATTTCGTCTACCAGTGCCTGCTCAAGCTCCTTTCTCAGTTCATTGTCGAGACTAGCCATAGGACCTCGCATCCTTAAATGCAAAAGTCAGCTTCATCAGGAACTCTTTGTTCTCAGTGTTTTGTAAAGACCCCACATGGTGGTTCAATATAGCT